GACACATACACAAATCTTATACTTACATCAACTTGTACATGACACATACACAAATCTTATACTTACATCAACTTGTACATGACACATACACAAATCTTATACTTACACCAACTTGTACATGACACATATACGAATCTTATACCTATACCAAATTATTCATGACACATACATGTATCTTATAGTTACACCAACTTGTACATGACACATACACAAATCTTATACTTATACCAACTTGTACACAACACATACACAAATCTTATACTTACACCAACTAGTACATGACACATACACAAATCATGTACTTCCACCAAATTATACATGACACATACGTGTATCTTATACTTACACTAACTTGTACATGACACATACACAAATCTTATACTTACACCAACTTGTACATGACACATACACAAATCTTACTTACACCAACTTGTACATGACACATACACAAATCTTACACTTACACCAACTTGTACATGACACATACACAAATCTTATACTTATACCAACTTGTACATCACACATACATGTATCTTATACTTATATCAACTTGTACATGACACATACACAAATCTTATACTTATATCAACTTGTACATGACACATACATGTATCTTATACTTACATCAACTTGTACATGACACATACATGTATCTTATACTTACATCAACTTGTACATGACACATACATGTATCTTATACTTACACCAACTCTTACATGACACATGCATGTATCTTATACTTACACCAACTCTTACATGACACATACATGTATCTTATACTTACACCAACTTGTACACGACACATACATGTATCTTATACTTACACCAACTTGTACATGACACATACATGTAACTTATACTTACACCAACTTGTACATGATACATACATATATCTTATATTTATACCACACTGTCCACAACTATTTTTATAAACATTTGCAATTTTTAATAAGATAATATACTTGTCACAATATATCTTTGGTGGAGTAACATTGAATTTAAAATATTTCATTTCACAGAGTGGGAATAAATTAATAGAGTAGCATTTCAAATCTTCTTCCAATGAGAGAACACAGGAAAGGTTGCAAATGTATCACTTACAATCAGTTTCCACTTCGTTATCTGTACCAACTCTTCATGAGTGATGTGAGGATCCCTTCTTGCATGTATGATCTTTGGAAGCTGTTCATGATACCTAGAAATACATAGCAATATTCAGTCTGTCTTTACAATACCTGGAAATACATATGTATAATCAGTCTGTCTTTACAATACCTGCAAATACATATGTATAATCATTCTATCTTGATGATACCTGGAAATACATATGTATAATCAGCCGGTTTTTATGGTATCTGGAAATACATATGTATAATCAGCCTGTTTTTATGGTATCTGGAAATAACATTAACACTCAGTTTATATTTATATCTTCTAATAAGGTTAGCATTCTACAAATCAAACCTGGAAAACACTGCTGAAATTTTAAGAAAATTTGAATGCTTAAATGATTTAATTAGAATATTTGTTAAAATTAATTAAACTAAACAAGGCAAGTAACACGCTATAGTCCCAGACTTACCTCAAACTCAGTACTTATGGTTTGGGTCACTGCAAGAACAAATAATGTTCATCTTGCTTCCAACACAAGATTAAAAGTTTGACACAGGTCAACACTTAGTCAGTAGGAGAGCTCCATGACTTTGAATAATTTTATTCTTCTAATAACTATCTGTGTAACTGTCACACACATAGTTGTCATTCACGTATCTTGTTCAAACAATGCTATCAAGTCGGGGAATGTTAATTTTTACCTAACTTTAATGATGCTTGTTTGATTTCACACTATACCAGTTTGTTTATCTTATGTTTTTAAATAACACAAAAACATTTTATTGTATGCCAAGATGAATGAATGTTATGGACTATATCTCAGACTGTTTTAACAAATATTATAAACTGTATACTGATAAGTACGTGTAGCTATTAGATATATGCAGTAAGCACACACAAACATCCAACTTGTACGTTAATAAAAACAAGGGACATTAGTATACAAAAACCTTCCTAAACACCTAACATTTGTTGTTCTTATCTTATTATGCATATACACACATTATCGCTATTGTTTCTGCAAAAGGATTTCATTCAATAAAATGTCATTTTTTATTACAAATACTACAGGAAACTAAAATTCATTTGATAAGTTGTTTACAATACACACAAGATAAAATACTTGTTTGAAAAATAAATGTTTATAGTTTTAAAAACTTAAAATTGCAAAGAATTAGAAACCAATAGGCCTAAAAACTGTGATAAAGTCTACACAAGTGCAAATGTTTTTTTTTCCACACTATTCTTAATTAATCCAAAACAAAACAACATAAGAGGAATTAAAAGAGTCAACACTCGCACGTGAATGTAGCTTGTGCATGAAAAATTAAAAACTGTCTATATCACTGCTTGAGACATGCTAGAAAGTATCTTTGTACCAAATTCCATGCAAGTTGGTTGACGTACACATCAATATTTCACGAAAACCCAAATTGTGCTTTCCTCGCTGAAAGACTGAGCAAAAGACAAAAATTCCAAAATTGTTTATATCTCTGTTCGGGACATGTAAAAAAGTATCTTTGTACTAAATCCCATGTAATCTGGTCAAAGTATGGCCAAGTACTTCACCAAACTCCCTAAAATTATGGGTTTATTTAACCTTTTGACCCCCCTTAAAGTGACCAAAAATGGGCATATCTCATATTTTTGTATGTGTATTTATGGGACCTGTAAAAAAAGTATCTTTGTACCAAATCCCATATAAATTGGACAAAATATGGCAGAGTAATTGTAAAAAAATACTAAAATTATGAGTTTGTGGCATCTATGATTACTAAAAATGGGACAAGGGCACCTATTTTTGTTTGTGGAACTTACAGAAAAGTATCTTTACTAATCCCATGGTCAAAATACGGTCAAGTAATTGACCACAATCCCAAAATTATGCTTTTTTTGTGAGCTCTGACCTCAAAAGCAACTTTTTGTAATTCAATGTGTTGGATGCAAAAAGATATTTATTTGGGCCAATTTTCATCTTGATTCTTGTAAGTATGACTGCACAGTAGCCCAAAATATACATTTTTTTGGTTGTTTGACTTTTTACCCCATAAAATCTTTAAAAAGGCTTAAATAAATAAAAAATTAAAAACCTGTCTGGACATACTGGACAAAGATATAACCCTACCAAGTTTCAAGTCAATCCATCAAAAAATGAAAGAATGGCAGTTAATTGAAAAGTGTTTGGAAGAAGATGAAACAATAGGAAAACAGTAGATCTCTCTGCAAAGACAAAATAAGAACAGAACAGACAATCATTTAATTAAAAACACACAGAAAAGGCCTGGTTAAACTATAAATGACAGAGGAAGATCTAAGCTCCTACATCACATGTATATACATGCTACATCTCACCATTCTGAATTTAGAGCTTATGGTTTAAAAATTAATTTAAAAGTACATAACTCATTAATTATGTGTACCTTGGTCACTTCTGCAAAAATGTACATTTACCCAACATATATCTAGAGCCATGATGTGTGTAAATTTACTGCCTTTACTTAAAAACCAGATTACCCTGGGTTATTATATCAAACATTACAGTACATATATGTATGGGTAGGTTTCACAGGTGTAACTTTACTGTACCCTACACGATGTGGATTAACATGTTAACACACAAGAACACTTTTTATTTAGTGGCTTTGTTGTTTGTTCTTGTGTGATACAAAGTACTAATGTTACTGTAACATAAGGTTTTAGTGAAATGAAAATTACTTTTAATATTTAAAAAGTATGTATTTTGAGTATCTAACTTAAAAAGCAACTTACTTTATCCATGAGTATTAATGTTGTAGAAAAACAAAAGCATTTAGACAAGACTATAATTGTAAATAAAACCATAAAGACACTTCTTATTGAGGGTTAGGATGTGGTGAAAACACTTGTTGGTTCTATTTGTAACACTAGGATTTTTGTATTTAAAAACTACAGTGTTATAATCACTAAATCTAATACACAGAAATGGGCAACAGTACTAGTCCTCTTATTAAGGTAAGAATATTCATGTTAGAAAGACAGTGCACAGACAGACTACTAGTAAGATATATTTTCAGGTCATGAGAAAGTGCTTAAAAATTGAATCTCTTCATTTTGGATAACAGAGGAATCAACAAATAACTTATGTTTTTATAACTATTTCATTTTAAAGTTCACTAAATGATGGGCTGTTTCAGTGAAAGAATATAGAAAAACAGTACAAAATACAAACTTGAATATTAAATTTAATCTCTGTATTTTTATTTCTTTTTAGACGGAGACTTACGTTTTGACAAAATGGGCTTTCATTACAGAGTTAAACTTATAAACAGAATGGTTTCCTAATGGTCTAGTGTGTTTAGTTTGAATTGGTTTAACTTTTGTTCTAGTGAATCACTATATTTCATAGGGTGATTGGCCTTTTATCACACTGTCTTATGGTTCAGGAGTGAATGTCACTAGCACCAATTTAATAAAATAGTTTTATTAATTATCTTTTGATAGCAAGTTAACTCCTGCAAATTTAAAATAAAAAATCTTATGTTACAAACAAATGTGAAAAAATATCAAAGAAGTTATTGTAATTTTTACTTTTTAAGATTACAGCTACAAATATAATCATTATCCAGCCAAATCGAAAATGGATACAGAAGAGATAATCATATAATAAATATAATTGGATTGACTTAACTTAGTTGTTGTTACACACTCTTCTTTACTTTCCCTCATATTCCTAAGTTCTTAATAAAAGTTAAAATAAGTACCAGTACCAATTAATTTGATATTTTACTAATAAATATTACGATATTCATTTGAACCAACAAATAATTTTATTATTGAAAAGAATTACGATCCTTTATGTTTCCCAAATACTACCACAATCTATCTCTTCCTTTTAGCTACTGACACTGCAGTTGTGCTTTTACATCTACGCGTAACACCCACGGCACCATTGATCAACTGAGTTTTTCGAAGCACAAATATTACCTTGACACACGCGCGTCCAGACAACTTATTGATTACCACGTGATGTTCACTTTTCAATTAATATTCGCGCGAAAGGTTCAAAAGTGGTTCACGCTTTGACATACCGCGATTACCGATTGTAACCTCAAACCGCACGACACACAAAGCGAAACTATTGACATGTTGAGCATAGGTGATCGGCCTTAACTGAATCGTATACAACTATACAAGCAGTTTTTAACTTACCAAGTATCTAAGTTGATAAATTCCTCTGGTCCTTTTTTCTTCGTTCTCTTGGCAGCTTTCAAGTTTAAAACATCATTGTAAAGAGATAGCGCATAATCCCACTGCGCCGATGTAGCTCTCATAAAGAACAATAAAGTAGAATCGTTCACATCAGCCATAGTGCAACACGTAGGCCTACACTGGCCACCCTTCCGACGTCGATCGCGTCCCTCGATGTTGCCCAATGGTAACGCAGTATCAGACAATGAAGCAAGCGAAATAGAGGCTAGTTCAGGTTATCATCTACAGATGGCAGTACAAGCAGAGGATATAATATTTCTTGGATTGTTTGTTTCTTGTTAAGCTCAAAGCTACACAAAGGGATATTTGTGTTCTGTCCACCTCAAGTATTAAAATCCGATTTTGAGTGTTAAAAGCCTTCAGACTTACCGCTGGGCCACCGGGAGGCTCATTCTTGGAAACTCTTAAAGCTGATAGAAAGACAGAAATTATTTAATGAACCATAGAAAGTATAGAACTTGAATGTAAAAAAATAAAGAAAATACACAATTAAACTTACATATTGTTACGTCTCTGGCCGTTAGTTAATTTCCCGTATAATTTCTTTCCGATGAAACTTTAGCGACATAAGTCCTTTCTTAAATAAAACTAGTTTATTCTTTCTCAATACGACTTTGCAATACACTTAATTTCCACAGTTAGGCTATAATTCACAACGAACGACTCACGCGCCCAACTCAGTTGTCCGTCTCTATCTCTGTCTGCTATTCAATTACATTGTTGCCGTCACTTCTTGGCGGTCTTGTATACAAGAATACCGCATATCTAGTAAACACTCGAGGCTTCAGGAAGGGACATGAATTTTGTAGAAGTTCATGACGCGTTAATAGTTCACGTGACTTCCGCTGTCGTAACACTGCCCCTTCTTTAGTATTGTTCGTCCCGAACAATAGCCACTTACATTAAACAATAAACAATTAACAATAACTTAATTAAATGTACAGAATTTACAAACACAAAATTACAATTCAACAAAGTCTCTTAATTTTGCGGGACGTATCTTCTTCCATACTGGTCTCCATCTCGTTGGCTTCTGCATCATGTGGGGTTCATCTGCTTCATCAGGAAACATCCTATCATTGGTAACAATCACATCAGTGGTAGTAACTTCTTCGACGTCTTCGCTGTTTCCCATCTCAAAATCGAGTAGAGTTCCTTCTTTGACAATGGCTTTTTTCATGTGACACGTCTTCAGCAGCGTCATTTGTTCCTTTGTTCACTTCATCCCAACTGTAATGTCCTGGACCGTGATAACGCCAAAGCCTGTTGGCATGCACCACTTTTGGCTTACCTCGTCGACCACATTTTATCTAGAGAGTCACGTCTGAGAGACGATCCACAATGTCATGCAGAAGACAACTTAGGAGACTAGCCTTTGGTCTTCCTTGGATTATACAACCACACCTTGTCTCCTGGTACAAAGCTGACTTCAGTAGATCTCTTATCATAATGTTACGACATCGGAAGTCACGTGACCCTAGTAACGCGTCATTGACTTCTAGAAATATCCTGTCCCTTCCTGAATATTCTAGCATTTACTAGATATGCGGTAGTCTTGTGCATATAAGATGGTCAAGACGTGACGGTAATGAATGTGTAATTGAACTGCGGACACAGTATTGTTGAGTCGAGCATGTGAGACGTTTGTTGTGAATTATAGCGTTTGTTATAACGCGACTGTTGAAATTAAGTGTATCGCAAAATTGTATTCAGAAAGAATAAACCAGTTTTATTGAAGAAAGGACTTGTATTGGTAAAGTTTCTTCGGAAAGAATTTTTACGGAAAATTAACTAACGAACGGAAGCGTAACAATAAAATAACTTCATCGAATCAACAGACGTTTTCAAGTTTGAACGCACTTGATGGTGAATATCATCCATCCTTTCCGATAACACTTTCACAAACTCTGACACATTTTCAGGAACTCTTCATAAGGTGGGCGTCCTGTTAACAGATCCACTGGCAACCGAAGTTCCCCACCAAACATTAACTTTGCTGGAGTGTTTGCAGTGGCTTCATGCTCTGCTGTCCTATAGACCATCAAAAGTGGAGGGAGTAAGACATCCCAGTCATCTTGGCGGCTATTACAAAACTTTGCCAATTCCTGTCCCAGTATCCAGTTGTACTTTTCTACCATCCCATCGGACTATGGGTGAAGTGGCGTTGTCCTGGTCTTTCGGATGCAAAACAACTTGCAGCATTCTTGGAACACAGCTGATTCGAAGTTACGGCCTTGATCTGAATGCAGTTCATATGGCATACAAAATCTGAAGAAAAAATCACTAATAGCCGAAGCTACAGTCGTAGCTTCCTGATTTGGTATTGCATATGCCTCAGGCCACTTGATGAAACAATCCATCACAACAAAAATGTACTTGTTTCCAGCGTGAGTTTGGGGAAGAGGACCAGTATTATCAACGGCTACTCTTTCCATTGGTGCACCAGTTGATATAACTTCATTGGAGCACGTCCCTTATGCTTGGGTCCTCTTCTAGCAAAACATGTACTGCATGTTCTGCACCTTTCTTCCACATTTGTCTCATACCTATCCAGTAAAATCTCTGTCGTAAGTGACTCAATGTTTTCTTAACTCTAAGATGTCCTCCTGTTAAACAATTATGGGATTGACACAGCACAACTTCCCCTAACTTTTTCGGTATAACCGTTTGCCAGGTCGTCACTTTCCCATCTGCAGTTTCCCATCCCCAGAGAAGAATACCATCTTCAAGCTTCAACTGGTCCCATTGTGCCCAATAGTTCTTTGTCACAGGGCTTAGACTAGACACCTTCTCCCAAGCAGGGTGCAAAACACTTGCATTTAGAAAATCAATTATTGGCTTCAAATCTTGGTCTTTCTCCTGTTCTGCCTTGATATATATATTTGGTTCCACTTCACCATCATCAACTCTTTCAGTCGGCTTGAATTCAGCTTGATGGCACCTGGTTAGTTCAACCTCTCTTTGGCAGCAATGCCTGCAGTCATTTTTACAGGGTCTTCGGCTCAATCCATCGCCATAACCATGAGATTTTCCTTCTCTATATTCAATATTATAATTATACTGGTCTATTTTTGCGATCCAACGTGCCCGTTGTCCCTCTTGGTTCTTTAATGATCTGAACCAGCGTAACACAGCATGATCTGCCCTGATGGTAAACCTTGCACCAGAGAGGTAAGGGTGGAAATATGTCAGACTCTTTAATATAGCAAGGAGTTCCCTCTGTGTTACACAGTAGTTC